GTTGTTCAAGGTTTTTATAAATGACATGGAGGAAGACATAGGGGGGATGCTTATCTAATTTGCAGATGACACGAAGATGGGTGGGACTGCTAATTCTGAAGAAGACAGAGTCAGGATTCAAAATGATCTAGATAGGCTGGAGCAGTGGGCTGAGACAAATAAAATGAATTTCAACAGAGATAAATGCAAAATCCTACACTTAGGTTCAAAAAATTCAAAGGCACAGATATAGAACTTGGCTTGACAGCAGCACATGTGAAAGGGATCTAGGTGTTCTGGTTGATCACAAGCTAAACATGAGCCTGCAGTGCAATGTGGCTGTGAAGAAAGCTAATGCAATCTTAGGATGCATTAACAGAAGCACTGTGTCCAGATCACGGAAAGTGGTAGTTCTGCTCTATTCTGCTATGGTCAGGCCTCACCTGGAGTACTGTGTCCAGTTTTGGGCACCACATTTTAGGAAGGATGTTGACAAACTCGAGTGTGTCCAGAAGAAGGCAACCAGGATGGTGAGAGGGTTGGAATCCAAGTCTTATGAAGAAAGGCTGAAAGAGTTAGGTATGTTTAGCCTGGGAAAAAGGCTTAGAGGGGACATGATTGCAGTCTTCAAGTATTTGAAGGGCTGTCATGTAGAAGATGGAGTGGATCTATTCTCTCTTGCTCCGGATTGCAAGACTAGATCTAATGGGTGGAAATTACAAGGGAGTCATTACCGGCTAAATATCAGGAGAAACTTCCTAACTGTAAGAGTGGTTGAGCAGTGGAACAGTCTGCCTCAGGAGGTGGTGGATGCTCCTTCGCTGAACGTTTTCAAGCGGAGGCTGGACGACTATCTTTTGGGTATGCTCCTGCAGAGTGTAGGGGGTTGGACTAGATGACCTGCAAGGTCCCTTACAACTCTAATATTCTATGATTCTATGACTCCTCCCTGTTCATTTAGCAGATTTCATGATTCAGATCTTAGCACCCATCTCACATATTGTGTTAGAGTGGAGGAGGTGCCATACACACCTGTCCCCCTACCACAGCACTGGATCGCAGATTGAATTCAGAGACTAAACTCTAATACTAGAATTATCATTTACAATTGTGAAACTTGACATTATGAAGCTGATGAGATGTAGCTATACAATATTTCAAAAGTACATTGAACTCACAGCTGCCAGAGGATACCAAAGCTAATAACACAGCTGAGCATATACAGAAAGTTAAACCAGAGAAGAAACCCATTTTCCAGGGATGCCAACCAAAAATTTATAGTAGTACCGGGGTGTGTGTGTGTGTCCTACCAGAAATTCTCTATAACAAACAGCTAAAAAAATCAGACTATGAAAAATCATCTAAATGGCATCATTATGGTGCCTGTATAATATACTGTTGAAGTTTACATAAAGTTTTTTTCACAAGTGAAATTAGTATCTGCTTTCACATTCCTTATGGCTGCACACAGAATAGAAAAAGTTGAATATCAAGAACGCACTCTGTTATTCTTTCACTTTGTATACTGAATTAACATCCAAAAGGACTGAGTTCATATATTTCTAGGGCTGGCCTGAGTTGATGTGTTTCATGAGATGTTAGCCTTTGCAAAATGAATCCCTCACTCAAGAAAGTTATTGGAATACACTGGCAAAAAGGAGCCAAAACCCACTGCATGGGTCTTAACACTGATTTTATTGTGATTAGTCTGCTGTTGTACTTTAACGTTTCTAATAGCTTGATGCAGGTTTACGATTGGTTTTAGTTAGAAACTGGAAGCTGCCTATGCCAATAGTATGAGGTATACTCACCCCTCCTTCCCTCACTGATGACACAACTGGGCACATACTTCTCCATATCGGAATGTGCATCCAAGAGCCTATCCCATGGAAAGTAATGCAGCACATAGAAACATCATTTGCAGAAGAACATTTTTAATGGGATAGGCATTTGGGTGACATCCCTGTAATGGATTGTGAACCTAGAGCCCACATATTCATTATAATTTCACCCAGTTTGTTGGTTTTCTGCTCTTGCGGCCTTACTAGACCCTTAGGGTACAGGATGCCAGCCTGAGGCTCGCAACTGGTGGGAGACTAACTGGGGGAGGGTCTTTACTGAAGATGCAGTGATGTCACTTCTGGCATGAACTGGAAGTGATGTCATCGCCAGCAAGGCTCTAGGCATTTGCCCCAAACCTTATGATTCACTCAGAGTTCTAGACAACTGCTATAGCATCATCTGAAGCAATGATGTCACTTTCGGGTTGTGTCAGAAGTTACATCATGATGCTGCCGGTGATGCTGATCACTCCCCCATCCCCTCCTGCAGTTTTTCCCCATCACCCAGCTGAGGAGGAGATTTGGCTTTCCTAGCATGATGGCCTCTTTTGTATTTGTTTAATGGAGGATTCCCTACCCCCCACCCATGAAGTAGAGGGAACAGGCCTCCTCTTTCTGTCTACAGCTCCTTGCAACCAAAGGGACGCTGCCAGGGGAATTCAGTGGGGAAAGGAGGAGTAACCTGAGCCCATTTTAAGTAAAGGCAACCTCTCAAAAGACAGATTGGTGGCAGGTGTTTATCAAATCCCCAGCTGCCCAGTAGTTAAACAGCGCAAATGGGAAAGAAACAGAAAGGGAGTGAAAAGAGGTGGAGCAGTCTGCTGCTCCAAGAAGGGCTTCATGGCTGATCCTTCCAGCTCCATGCTGCCCCCCAGTTCCATGACAATCTCAAAATAAGGAGGAGGCCTGGCTGCCTTGGCAACGTGATCTTTCCCCACATCAGAAGACTCTAAGTGTTCACAGGGAGACCAAGAGGGTGGGATTGGTGGGACCAAATTCCCTGGGCCCAAGTCAGCTGGAGGGCCCCCGAAGCCAGGGTCACACTGCATTCACCAAACACATTTAATTTTTTTTACTTTGCACTGCAGCCACTAGGGGCGCAAAGAAGGCAAAGGACAATAAACAGCAGTAGTTCTTGCAGGCTGGGCCTTTCTGCAAAGTTTGCTACAAGGCTAAAGGAAATTCCTTGCAACTCAGATCCTACTAAACCCAACAGCCAAGCTAGCATTGGAGCAAGGTAAGACCAGCCAGGACAAGCTGCAGTCACTGCCAGGATGCAGCCTCCTAACAAGGTCATTATTAGGGGTGTGGATTCAGTATTTACTGAACTGAATAAATACCCCAAAAATACCTTATTGGTATTTTTCAGGTATTTATTCAGCCAAATCAGATTAGAGAATCTGATTCGGCTACCAATCTAGCTGAACCTGAATAAAAACTGATATTATTCACCTTTTATTCGGGCACAGCTTGGAGAAGCCAAGTCACACTGTGGCAGTGCAGGCCAGCTGGGAGAAGGGATTTAAAGAGACGACTTTAAATCCCTTCTCCAAACCAGCTTGTGCAGCCATGGCAGTTTGACTTGGCAAATGCTCTCAGTCATCCCTTCACATGACTTTCCCCCTCCACTGGAAACAATATTCCCCCCAGAGCCCCAAACGGATTCTTCATTATAGCCTATGGGGTCCCAAATAAATTCGGGTTACCTGATTATTGGGATTCGAGAATATTGGGAAATACTGATTTTTTCAGGTTCAGTAATACCAAGTCCGAAAAATACTTTTTTTACCCACCCCTAGTCATTATCTCCGGCAGTCTATGATTTCCCTCTTCCATTAGTTCCACTCAGCTCCATAGTTTTGTCTGCACAACCAGATCTTGTAAAGGGGCAACCCTGTTACTGTGTTGTAGCAAAACAAAAGAATTTTCATTATCTTTTCCTTAATTTCTCTTTTCTACTCTTTTCTCCTTCTACTCTTTGCTCTCTTCCTTTCATGATTTGCTTTCATTCCTCTCTCCCCATCTCCAACAAACCCCCCCCCCCCAATTTTTCACTCGTGGTCTCAACTCCTTCTCATCCATACTGGCTGACAACATAGTACGTATTAACAGTATAGCAGGAAATCTTTGTTAATATTATAAACAGAAGGAAGAATATTCCCTATAATCTATCAAAGTAGCAAAAGGATGCTTCCCCACTTCTACCTTTGACATGCACAATAACAGCATGTCATTCTGCCTTAGTAGTAACGAGGAACAGAAGTTAAAACTTAGCTTAGCTTCCACTGCAAACTGCAGGGTGGGGGATGGAGATAACCTGGGTCAGGATAGTCTGGTTCTTTTAATTTTCGGCCCTGGAACTCCCATGATCATCTTGAGGCTGGTGGCTAATTCTGATATTCCTAGTTTTGTTTTCCGATTAGTTATGCCTGCCACAAATGGACAGAAGGAGGGACCTTTGGTTTCTTTTATTATTAACGATGCATGGTAACAGCCAGCCAAGAGATTGATTCTGTCATGGGACCTGATTTGGATCAGGGTTGTATGGGGGGGCTCATGACGGCTCTCAACAGCCCTGGGTGGTTATTGTTTCCCCAAAATGCACAAGTATGAAAGAGTGGGATATTTCAGAAAGATTTTCACCTATATACATTTTTGTAATGTTTGCAGCAAAATAAATAAATAAAATTAAAAAATTAAATAAGTTAGAACAGCACTAATGCATTTAACAACTACTACTCCTTCGTCACTGATGAAAATTCCAGTGAGGAATGCAAGCAAACAAGTTTTATTACATTCATACTGAAGAATTTAAGAGGCAACCTATACCTTGAAAAGGTTCATAAGAAATCCTTGATGTTAAGATCCGCTAATGGGTCCTTTGTTGGAGGTTTCTTGGGACTCTGAGTGACAGGTGTCGGGCTTGGAGAGAGCTGCAGAGATTTCCCACCATGCAAGACAAGCAAGACACGCACAGCAAAATAGAAAACATGAGCAAAGGTATAAAGACATTAGAGTAATATTAGAAACCCTATTATAAACAACATTAAGAGGCAATTAACATTGCTCCCACTTTAGAGTCAGTATTGTAGGTAACTATGTTGATGCCATTCAAACAAAGCAAAGTTTAGCATTTCACAACAAAGGAGGAAGTTTGCAAATCCATTGAGAGTAAAGACCTTACTTTAATATTCCCTTGTTGCAAAAGTATAATCAGGAAACGGAACATGGCCTTTTCTGCTACAGCACCTGCCTTATGGCACTTGTCCAGGGAGAGCATTGGGCTCAGCAGATTGATAGCATGCTGCTTCCCTTCTGCCCTCAATTGAGCAACTTTGTTTAAGATATTTTCAGTCAACGTGCAATTTGCCATGATGTCCAGGTACCTGGGCAAAATGGAGTATGATTTTCCTCACAAGACTGGAATTAAACCCAAACCAAGCAACCTTGGTGCATAAAAGTGAAGTCATACTTGCACCCATCACAAGTATACTGAGAGTTGTTGTGTTGTCTGAATTTTGTTTTAGTTTGTTGAAGATGACAATGATTTGCTTAGCCTGTTGATGAGTTATTCCAGTAGTCACTGGCTATATTATAGTTAAAAAAGAACATATAACAAACAACTTTTGCTTTAGCTAAAGAAAGCCAGTTAAGTTTTAAAGCAGACTTGAAATTGTTTTGCAATATATTCTTGCACCAACACTGGAAGCAAGAATCATGCTTTGCAATACTGTAATTTTGTAACATTGGTTTAAATTTTGAATACCCAAAACTGTAAAAAGTCATTGCTGAATATGAAGCTGGAGGAAAGACCCTTTGAGCTTATATCACAACCCTCTGAAAACCCTGCTAAAAACAGATTGTTCTTACTTGTGCACCAGATCCTGCAGCTGCTCCAAATGGAGGCCTCATCATAGGCTGCCCATACATAACTGGCTGCTGTGACATCATTGGAACACCTGCTCCAGGTGGTTGCTAGAAGGTATTTGAGAACAATTTGTGATGTGTACAGTATGGACAATACAAGCCCTTAGCTTGACTGGCTTGAGACTGACAAGAAAAATATGACTATGCTGCATTCTCTTGGATAGTCTGAATCTAGTTTGAATTGCATACCCCCGGGTACATTCTCTAGAGAATATTAGATAAGTAATGTGGAAGTGTTTGTGAAGTGAATGCCATATGAAACCACAATACACAAGCACAGAAACCAGGTGTATAATTTGGCAAGCAAGAAGGGCATGACTCAGCACGGCCTGACATTTGCGGGGTGGGGCGGGGAGGGAGAGGTGGTCAGATGCTGGGTGGGGGTGGGGCCGGCGAGCGGCGTAAAAGTACCGACCTCCCCTCTTCCCCCAGAACAATGGCAAGGCACTGGGGCAGCCGGGGGAGGGGGGTTTAAAAGAAGAAGCCCACTGCTCGCCTTACCCACCCCAGCCTTTGTCCAGCCTTGGAGCTGCTTGCCCACCCATCCAGGGACTGATACTGCATAATGATTTAACAAAGGGGGTTAAAGCGTCATCATTTTGTATAGTTTAGAATTGTTAGTTTGTCAATATAGTTTGATTTTGATTATGTTTTCTTTCTGTCACAACTGTTGGGGCGGTAACAGCATGGGGCCGGATCCCTTTATGGAAATCGGCCTGCGTGCCATTTACCGGATATGGGGACCACCTTAAGGGGTCTTGGTGTGAGGGCTGACAGGAGCAAGCCTGCTCAGGGACTACCAGTGATTGCCCTCATGACCAGATGGCAGGGGAGATCATGAAGGGGCAGTTGTCCATGTGATCCTCGGCAACCTGCCATTCTGCAATCTTCACCCATGCCGGCTGGCTGGGTGATGGGGTACATTGGCTGATGTGGGGTCAGCTGATGCAGCGGATCTGGTGGACCCATTCTATGCCAATGCTTCTTACAGCTGTAATCTTACAGCTTGTTAGCCGCCCTGAGCCGTTGGGTAGGGCGGGATATAAATCCCAAAATAAAATAAAATAAATAAATCAATAAAGTTGTGGCCAATTTATTCCACTTATTTCCAAATCTGTTGTGAGTGTGGTCATTTCACGAGAGATCAGGGGCATCTGACCAAACCTCTCCATCCCACATAAGAACTGGAGCTGCAAAGAATCTCTATTCCCATTGACTACACCCACACAAGCATTCAAAGAGGAAATGTATAGCCCTCAAGTTTTCAAAGGTAAGCAATAATGTGAGAAATACTTAAGATCTTAGATTCCTTTACTTGGAGGCAGATGATTTTCAGTGGTAGAACTTCATCGGTTTGCATAGTTCTTTGCCACTTCCAGAAGCAAGCAAATATATACATAAGATTGCTCAACTTTCACTTTTCATAAAAACCAATTTGTTTATCTTTAATATATCTGGATTCAAGCTGTGCTCTTTCCCACCAACTCAATTCACTATCTTATTTTTGGAGAATATCTTGTGTTTTTAAATTATTTTTGTTGTTGAGTCCGACTCTTCGCAACCCCATGGACCACATCATGCCAGACCCTCCTGTCTTCCGTCATGCTCTGGAATTTGCTTAATTTCATGTTCGTTGCCTTGATAACACTGTTATTACCTAGTAAATCTTCATAGCTCCACATTCATTCGTAAGGGCTTCAAGTGGTGAGACCAATTTTGGTATCTTTGTATAAAAAAGCGTTTTTGTTTCTTCTCATGTTTTCAACAATGACATTCAGAGAATGTGCTGTTTAAAGTAGTTATGAGTACTATCTCTACCATACCATGCAAAAGCATACCAACCAAGTAATAGGTCATGTCCCTATGCCGGCTGGCTGGGTGATGGGGTACATTGGCTGATGTGGGGTCAGCTGATGCAGCGGATCTGGTGGACCCATTCTATGCCAATGCTTCTTACAGCTGTAATCTTACAGCTTGTTAGCCGCCCTGAGCCGTTGGGTAGGGCGGGATATAAATCCCAAAATAAAATAAAATAAATAAATCAATAAAGTTGTGGCCAATTTATTCCACTTATTTCCAAATCTGTTGTGAGTGTGGTCATTTCACGAGAGATCAGGGGCATCTGACCAAACCTCTCCATCCCACATAAGAACTGGAGCTGCAAAGAATCTCTATTCCCATTGACTACACCCACACAAGCATTCAAAGAGGAAATGTATAGCCCTCAAGTTTTCAAAGGTAAGCAATAATGTGAGAAATACTTAAGATCTTAGATTCCTTTACTTGGAGGCAGATGATTTTCAGTGGTAGAACTTCATCGGTTTGCATAGTTCTTTGCCACTTCCAGAAGCAAGCAAATATATACATAAGATTGCTCAACTTTCACTTTTCATAAAAACCAATTTGTTTATCTTTAATATATCTGGATGCAAGCTGTGCTCTTTCCCACCAACTCAATTCACTATCTTATTTTTGGAGAATATCTTGTGTTTTTAAATTATTTTTGTTGTCGAGTCCGACTCTACGCAACCCCATGGACCACATCATGCCAGACCCTCCTGTCTTCCGTCATGCTCTGGAATTTGCTTAATTTCATGTTCGTTGCCTTGATAACACTGTTATTACCTAGTAAATCTTCATATTTCCACACTGAATGCTTTGTAAATAGACTAGGATTCGTAAGGGCTTCAAGTGGTGAGACCCATTTTGGTATCTTTGTATAAAAAAGCTTTTTTTGTTTCTTCTCATGTTTTCAACAATGACATTCAGAGAATGTGCTGTTTAAAGTAGTTATGAGTACTATACCATACCATGCAAAAGCATGCCAACCAAGTAATAGGTCATGTCCCTCTAGCTTTAAAAGTCTTGAATTTTCCAGTATGATCCAATCTCTGACCCATGACAACGATGCCGCTTTGTAGCATAAGGACCAGTTTGGTAGAGCAAATCCTGAAATTCATATCCTGAAGTGCTTTCATCTTTATTCTACGTCTCTTTCCTTGCCATATAAATTGTCTTATAAGTTTGTCCAGGTCTTTAAAATACTGTTGATTTTTAAAAACTGGAATAGTTCGGAATAGAAAAATAAGTCTTAATAAACTAACAATTCTAAACTATACAAAATGATGACACTTTAACCCCCTTTGTTAAATCATTATGCAGTATCAGTCCCTGATGCCAAGTTGTTAATTGTTCTAGCTAAAATTGTCAAAAGCTTTTTCAGCACCTAGAAAAACCAACGCCATCTGTTTTTCTGGATGTGCTTCAAAATATTCAATTACATTTAAAATAGTCCTCACATGGTTTCTTATTTGTCTTTTAGGTAAAAACCATGCTTGGTCTTGATGAATTATTTCCAGAAGAACTCTTTTCAATCTAGTAGCCAGTATAGATGCATACATTTTACAGTCCACATTCAATAATGCAATTGGTCTATAATTTAAATTTCCATCTCGTCCGCATCTTGTTTGCAGATTAAGGTAATTAAAGCTTCATTCCAGATCTTTGGTATTTTCTTTTCCTTTATAATATTTTGTATTGTATATTTTAATGGCATTGTTATTTGATCTTCAAAAACTTGATAAAACTCTACACTGTTATTACCTAGTAAATCTTCATATTTCCACACTGAATGCTTTGTAAATAGACTAGGATTCGTAAGGGCCGGAAGACAATCTGGACCCAGGGTTTTCCCTTTCTTTTGGTTTTTAACTGCTTCATTTATTTCAGAGAAAGTAGTAGGTTCATTTAAAATTTTCCTTTGATCTTTTGTGAGTTTCTTACTATTATGTTTTTTTAAGATATTCTTTGACTTCTTCTTGAGTGGTTTCTCTTTTCTGATATAAGTTCTTATAAAATGTCTCAATCTTCTTCAAATCTCTAGGAATGTTCTTTTCCTCTCCCCCTTCATCTCTCAATATCTTTTTTTCTTTCCTTAATTTATATGCTAACCATCTAGTTGGTTTATTTGCATTTTCAAAATAATTTTGTTTTGCATATGTAATTTTTCTTGCAATTTGGTAATTCATTTCCTTGTTTTTTGTTTTCCTGTTTGTTTTTTCCTGTCTAGAGCTCTATCAAAAACAGCATTATAATATCCAATTATACAAATTTCTTCAAAATTTTATTTTGATATGGCCTCCTGCAACAATTTATAAAATTTTCCCTGATCCTGATTTGGTGCATATATGTTGATAATTAGGGTTGTTTTGGCTTGTCTCTGAAAAGTCCATAGAATTGGATAAAATATTGTTGTATACTGATGAAAAACATAAAAAATTGCACGTAATGCTATTAGAAATGAAAATGCAAGATGAGGTGGTTAAATGTTCAATGGTCAGATGGGCACAAAATCTAGGATATAACACTAAATTAGATCAATAGTCTAAGGTATGGAAAACTAATATAAAGTATACCAGAGCAATCTCATATAAAGAAAATATATACAAAATGTTTTATAGATTGTATATGACACCAGATAGAGTAGCAAAATTTTATCCCAATATGTCAAATAATTGTTGAAAATGTAAACAAAATGTTGGATCTTTTTTCATATGTGGTGGACATGCAATAAAAGTAAGAAGTATTGGGTCTGGATACATGAGATGTTACAAAAAATACTAGAAACAAGTATACCTTTTGTACCAGAATTGTTTTTATTGA